CCCCGCATCTCCCCATATCTCCCCATACCTCGGCCACGGGGAGCCGTACGCAGGCGCATATCTCCCCACATCTCCCCGCATCTCCCCATATCTCCCCATACCTCGGCCACGGGGAGCCGTACGCAGGCGCATATCTCCCCACATCTCCCCGCATCTCCCCATATCTCCCCACACCTCGGCCACGGGGAGCTGTACGCAGGCTCGTACTCCACTGACTTCAGCTGCACTCGACCGCATTCAGTTGTATGCGCTGCACATGCACGCGGCGCTCTGATGACGTCGGCGTGTCTTCACCGTGCAGGCTCGTACTCGGACTTTCTGCGCCGCGCCGCGCTGCAGCGCGAGGCCATGGAGCAGGTGGAGAGCGACGCCTCGCCGGCTGGCGAGGAGGAGGGAGGAGCGCTCTCCCAAATGCCTTGTCTGTGACTCACGTCCACATCTGACACATCCTCCTTCCTCTCATCTCTACACACCACTCACCCTCGTCATCCTCATTCACGCTACTCACACCGCACGCACGACTCTCCTCACCTCCGCTCCTCTAGGCGTCTTACCTCCGCCTCTCCCCGACACCCTCCGCCCGTCGCGCTTCCAACTGCTGACGGCGGCGACGCCAACGGCGCGCGCCAAATCTCGGCACTGCCCCTGCCAGTCCTCGGCCCCTCGCGATCTCGCGCGATCTCGGGTAATCTCCAAGATGCCCCGCGCAAGTCATGGTTCGAAAACCAGGCGAGGCGCGCCAAGCGTGCGCGGCGAGGCGCCGCGGCGGCGGCGGGCACGGACGCGATGCTCGCGCTTCGAGGCGCGTCGCTGTCCTTTGAAGCCGCGCCGGAGGGGCGCGGCGCTGGAGGCGCTGCGGGCGGCGCTGGAGGCGCTGCGGGCGGCGCTGGAGGCGGCGCTGCGGGCGGCAGCACGGGAGGCGGCGCTGGAGGCGCTGGAGGCGGCGCTGGAGGCGGCGCTGCGGGCGGCGCTGGAGGAGGCGCTGGAGGCGGCGCTGCGGGAGCCGGCGCTGGAGGCAGCGGATCGCGCGGGCTCTCCGAGGTGTCTTTCGAGGTGCGGCGGGGGCGGGGTGGTCGCCCCGCGAGGCAGAGACACCCGGGAAGCCACACTCGCGCCGCTACACTGCCTCCTCCGCTCGCGCCACCATGCTCCTTCACCTCTTGAGCCTGACCGGCGCGAGGAGCGTGGGGAAGAAGAGTGGCCGGGAATAGGTGCGGCGGGGCGAGGTGCTCCTCCTCGTCGGCGCGAACGGCGCCGGCAAGTCGACCCTGCTGCGTGTGGCGGCGGGCGAGTGGCCGCTGCTGGCGGGCGAGGTGGCGCGGAATTGCGACGTGCGGCCTTTCTTCCTCACGCAGGACGCGAACGATTACTTCATGAGCTCTCCCCACACTCCTACATCTCCCCGCATCTACCCGTATCTCCCCACATCCCGCCGTACCTCCCCATAGATCACCCGAGATCACCCGAGATCACCCGAGATCACCCGAGATCACCCGAGATCACCCAGCGCAGGACGCGGCGCACCGCGTGAGCGGTGGAGCGTCGGCGTGGGAGTGGATCTGCGGCGAGGCGGCCGGATTGGGCGAGGGGGCGGTGCGGCGCGCGTTGCGTCAGATGGGTTTACCTTATCTAGATGCCAGACCCGCAGCTCGGCCGTCTCTGGATGCACTGCCGCCGCTCTCGCAGCCCTCGCACACTCACGCGAGGCTCTGAGTACCCTGCACGAGGCTCGTTCCCCCCGCACAGTCCCCCGTGTTGATGCGCCAGGCTTCCCGGCCACCGCGCAGCGCAAGCCCGTCTCAGCCCTGTCTGGCGGCGAGCGCACGCGTCTGTGCATCGCGTCGATGCTCCTCTCGCGCGCGAACTTGCTCGTGCTGGCGCGCCGCCGCCCTCGCAAACACTCCTGCCCTCCTGCCCTCCTGCCCCCCCCCCCCCCCTT